CAGTTTACTTTAAAATAACGGTACACATTATACAACTTAAAAAACGGCCAATTACACAAATCTTGCAGACGAAGTAAATAGCAATTTATGAAAATATATTCCATTGGAATGACTACAATAGTTCATATTAACAACCAAAATTCAAATTGACTAACAATCGTTTTTTGTTCTAAAGACAAATGTTGGGGGTCTTCTGTCGAAATCATAACTGAACGATTTTCCTCATGAGCCAAAGTGCTAACAAGCAGCACAATATGGTTTGACTCAGATGAATGTCTGCTCTTCATCAGTGCTCTTTGTACAAACTACGTTGGACTAAACGCACTTGTCATATTGCAATCTATAATACGCAACTTTGCAATCTATTTCTATCATGTTCCGTCCTCGTTGCACTACACATCGATTGAAGTTTTAGACAATTTAATGTCTTTATTACTATCAAATAACGATTGGTTACCATAGTTTCTAGTTTCGGGAAACACCCCTCTTTTTCCGCCCACGCTTGTTACCAGTAACCCTCTCCAACCACCACCACCACCACCACCACCACAATAAATTCAGTTTCACTGAATGAGTAAAATAAATTTCGTACTGTAAATGATTCATAACTGATTTGGAAATGGGTTTATTATAACAAAGTAATCGAACTACTGTATTTGCTGAAAAATGATATCAAAATATCTCGTATGCGAAGTTGAGGTACGCCCAAAATAATAATGTAATATGAAATGCAAATGCGGTGTCTTATAGGTCATCAAATAACATAGGATTTCTTTTGAAATGGATTGTTGTTGTTGTTGTTGATGATGTTAATTTTGCGCAATGATTTTGAGCCTAAAGAAACCTGGAGATGTTGCAGCTGATAATAGTGTTGGCAGATGACTTTGGCACTGAGACTAATTTCCGTATTTACCGCCAAATGTTTGCCAAAACTAACATTAAAACATCATCAAAGACCATTCCAAAGGAAACAGATAGCAAAACCAGACTTAGGATGAGAACAGATTCAACTTGGATTGGCAGAAAATAAGGACATGTACCAAGATTTTTGCGTAGAAGTAAAATTGGATTTACAAGCAAGATTTAGATGCACACAAAATTGCAAGAAAAAAAAAATTCGGTCAATAAAAAAAATTCGAACAAAGCAGATTTGTATTTTAATAAGTTTAAATTCGATTTATATATTACAGTTCAGATTTCATGAACGTATTAAGCTCGGAAGTTTCTGATTTATTCATTATCTTGAATAGGACAGAATAGTAATAATTTACGCAAGGGCTTTCCCCAAAGTCTCTGGATTGCGTAAAAAAATCAGACTTACAAATATGAGTAGCTTAGAAATCTCCAAATGTGCTGATGACATGAATAGAAATTTCCGTAAGACAGGGAACAAGTCTAATGAAGAAGACTTTGGGAAAAGAGCAAAAACACCTTTTCAGCTCAACTGCCCAAAGCAGGTGTTGTTTTGCGTTCATATTCAGAATTAAGACAGCCATCTAACACTGCATGCATCCAATTATGCAGATAGAAAGAAACAGAGTATTTGCGCGTAAAGTGAATGTAACGAACTCGACTGGAATTCGAACTCAGCTCTCTGATTTCTCGTGCTGTTATCTCGTTACACTAGCCACACATCCACAACTGGGAAGAAGAGATGAGCTGTTTATTCATTGTTAGAGAAGAAAAAAAGATTACTGTTTCCATAATCATATGACCTGAGTGATGTGAAAAGATTGATGACAAAGATGGAAAAATCCCAGGATGGTTGTTGGTTTAAGGTAGATATGGAGTGGGGACTTGGGTTAGTGAGTTCGTTTCTCAATGGGTGACCCACACTTATAATCTTGTGGTAAATTAAACTGAGTAAACAATATCAGGCAGTGATTCAGTTCTGGCATTTTGTCTCCGCCACGTGACATTTCTCCTTTTTTACAAGAAGCCGGTGGCGTTCTCTATGCTATTTTTAGAATTACAAATGGCGGCTTGATTGCCGAAGTCGTTATTAAAATACCAGACGTCTATATAATTACGACTAAATGGAAAAGGAGATTCTAGGCTGGTTTGCTTCATCTTTGTGGATGAGAAAAAAAGTGGAAATTGGCCACAAGATTATGAGGGTAATTGACGTTCGAGGTTCTTTGTTGCCATTTTAGAATTGATTTTTTTATTAATCCAACAAATAAAAATAACATTGACAGTGATGATATATATATACATATATATATATATATATATGTGTGTGTGTGTGTGTGTGTGTGAAAAATATATAGAAAATAGGAAAGAACTCGTTAGGTAAACAATCCAAAGTTCTTTAGTATTTTTGTTATTATTTTTAAAAAATAGTGCTCGATACAAAAGTAGAGCATAAACAATTATTTGTTTAAAAATATGATTCCAACACACTACATGAGAGTTCTCATGTTTCAAAACAAACTTCAATATAATTATTTGAATTAAATTGAATTAAAGTACTAAGCTCTGTTCTATCTTCAAGCGAAATTTTTTTTTTTGAATTCCAAAAAAAAAAAAAAATTCGAAGAGAGAGAGAGAGACAGAGAGAGATATATAGAGAGAGACAGAGAGAGAGAGAGAGAGAGACAGACAGACAGACAGACAGAGACAGAGAATCAAACGCCAATGATATAGCAGTCAAAAGCGAGAGTGATTTTTTCGTAAAATGACATAAACACATCTTTAGGTGATTATTAAAACAAATTAATCCGAACTCATTTTTAATATTTATTTTTGCAATGACATTTGACCTTCATTTTTATGACTCACTTATCTTATTGTAACATTTCATCATGGCATTTCTATGTTAAAGATTTGATGATTCTCCAACTCTAAATTCCTGTAGTGTGACGTCAAAATAATGACAGAACTTCTGACAAGCGTTTAACTCATATCATGTGTCGGATAATCTTCATAATTTAAGACACTTACTACATATGTATGACAAAAGCATTAGGTGAAAAATGAACAGGGAATATATGTACAGAAACATATATTTATTACATTTGATCTTTCGTATAAAGCTATATACATAGAGAATAATATTCATATATATATATATATATATATATATATATATGCCGATTTTTTATATTCAAAAATTATTTTGATTTGTAGTCATAATTATTGATTTCTAATCCTATATCTTCTGATCTGGGGTCATCAGGGGATTTATGCACTAAACAAGTGTATTTGGTTGTTAGTCTAGTTTTGTTAGAAGCAAAGAAAAGTGCGCTGAATTGTTATGTAATATCAGTCCCCAGTTCTTGCTGCTTAATTTTCTTACAGATGAAAAGAAGACTTGAACCAACAAAGATGATTTTTCTACATAAGAATGCTGAGAATACTATGGACAGAGCATGTGAGCAAAAAGGAAGTTTTAAAAAAATGGAAGTAAAAAGGATGCTTATACTTAGAATCAAAAAGAGACAGTTGAAACGGGGCTCGTCTTGATTTTCTCTTTTAGGTCAAGCCTACGTCACATCGGGGTGGTTTCCTGAGGAGCCCTCCCCCTGGTTAGGTTAGACAAGCTTTTGTGTACCTAGTTAATGTGAGTAAATGTGCTTCTTTGGTTATGATCCAGTTTGAGATTCCCAACCTCCCCAGTTTGTCTTTGCCCCCCCCCCTTTATCTCGTCTGGGTCAGCGTTATATCCTCCCATGCCCGTACGATTTTATCCTTTCCCCACACCCTTAGTGAGAGAGCTTCTTGATTTTGTCCCATGGGCAGAATACAGCGGCCTCTTTGTTTTTGAGGGTTGGACGGGCCCTACTAACATCAGTTATGTTTAATTTGACTTATGTTTATATTTTTAGTTTATTATTGGGTTCATCACCCTCCCCTCTCATCCCTCATCACAAGATTTTTATATGTATATAATTATCATTAAATTTTTAATGGCATGGGGCGCGTTTTGTAGATCCCCCCTTGTGAGGATGTGGTATTATGGTGTAAGGAGGATTGATTGGTGATGGATGAGTTCTTGTGGTGAGTGGGCAAATTGTAATGAGTGAATCGGTCGTGAATCGGATTAGCTAGGTATAGGATAGTCAGTGAAGACCAGCCTCAACCCCTCCCTTTTCAGGCCTTGTGCCACAATTGTATTTTTCGATACAATAAATATAAAGAGACAGTTGAAATTTCAGAGACGCAGAAGGAAAAAGGCTTTGAGATTTTGACACTCACAGGACATAATCAAGCCAAGAGAGAGAGAAGGAACAACGACTAACCTACCAAACGATCTTGTTTAAATGGATTGCAGAGAAGTACAGAAAAGAAACATTGCTGAGAGCTACAAAGGATAGGAATGTGTGGATTATATATATATATATATATATATATATAGATAGATAGATAGATAGATAGATAGATAGAGAGAGAGAGAGAGAGAGAGAGAGAGAGAGAGAAGGGGAGAGTCTTTGTAATTATGGTGCTCATTATCAATATCATTAATAAATAAAATTAAATGTTCATTTATCTTTACCTATTCTGAGTTTCACAGTGATTACTCGTCAGGAGGATTGATAGTAAAATTTCTATTATCAAAACCCTTGAAGAGTGAAGTTGGGACAGATAAGTTAACATTTTATTTGTTACTCTATAGTTATGTCATATCTAATTTCTGTTTGGTATGGTACATTCGTCATCCTAACTATTAGGTTGGTGCAAAAATAATGACGTAATAATGTCGTTTTTTGACGTATTTTTAACGTTAAAAACGACATTATTAGGTCATTATTTTTGCACCAACCTAATAATAATCATATGTGGCATTTAATAATTCATTTGGAGAGCGTTACTTTTTCACGTGGCAGCGTACACAGTGGATTAAAAGAAAATGTTGTTCTCAAGCATTTATTTTATCTCGTTCCGTTGTCCATCTGCTCGGCAAAGGTATTGAACACACAATTACTATGCCATAAAATTCATGAACCCACATTTTAATCCACGTGATAATCGTAACACTAGAACGTGTACCCTTAAACCTAATGTTCTTATTGCCCCTTTGCTATTGCTATAACCTTTCTGTGAAGCTTGGCTCTCTCTGTCACAATTTTTCCTTTCTTACTGTTACCGCTGAAGCTTTACTGTTGGTTGGCTCTTTCCACCGTTGTTTCTAGTTATTTATTAACCATTGTTTATTAAACAAAGGGGTCAGTTGGAAGTTCTCTGAAGATTACCAAGAACGACAGACAACTGGAGAAGGTTGGAGAGTCAAACGACTGAAACATTATGGTAGTACAATGGTAAGGGTATTAGTTCACTTGTAAATAATGTAAATAAAGCTAGAGATGATTTGTTTTGTTCGTGGACCTGTAAGAACAAATAAGAAATCACGACCTTAAATAGAAAAATAGTAATACAGGATATTTCAGTGTAGCACTCATTTACATAATTGGACAGCTGTAAATTCTAGCTTATTATTGAAATCGGGTCATTTATTTTCGACGAGTTTCTTGTAGCACAAGAATGAATGAGCTGGTGGCATATCTGATGACAGTGACTGAAGACCAAGGGTGGTGGTGAACAACTGAGCTCGTGTCGTGTTGAGGTCAGACCACACACCAGGTTCGTTCTCAGGGTGCAGTTTCTTCTCGTCAAACGCTTGTGGTTTAAAAATATAACTTCTTATCCAGATCGTTACCCACATAATAGAATCATGAGATGAAGTTGTAGCATTCGGCAAATTTTATTCTGGTTGTAAGCTTCAGGTGTAGACGAGCGTGGCAAGTTGAGGGGAGATAAGGGGGATAGCGGTTTAATTGGTGTGCGTGCGTCCGCTTTCCTTTGGGTATCGCCTCTGATTTCCGCTGATAGTGACCACTGTCTTATAGATGACAAACTTTCTTTGTCCTGTCATCTTTCAGCTAAAATAGTCATTCATCAAATCCTCAGGGTTTGGATTCACTCAATGACATTTGTCAGGATTCTTTAACATTGTTCTTATGAGGTCCACTTCACTTAGCTGATCACTGCCCAGACAATAACTGTCGAAAAAAAATTCTGTAACATATTTCAGATGTTTTCTTTTCCTTTAAAAAGATATCGGCTGAAACTGATATTGATACACACGCTGAGAAAAAGAAAATATGTTGCATATATGTATACAGGTAGCATTTATCTGTCTGTCCACCACGTACGAAATGCTAGAAAAGAAAAGTGCCCCTCCCAAGGGAAAGGTATAACCTGGGGAGACGGTGGAGCTACAGCTAACATTAAATTTTAACCCCTCTCCCCGGCAGAGACAAAATCATTATCATAGACCATTACGAATACGATGTGTTCATACCTCAGTCTAAGTTTTCCATGGACAAAAGCACACTATTTATCTCTTGTCTTCTTGGTGGCTGAGGTGGTTGCATATTTGTCGAGTATAGGTAAAACATAAGATATTTGGATGTTTTTTTTTAATGTAAACCCATGATTTTATTTGAAAATATGACAACTATTTTATCATATTAAGCAAAGATTTACAAATATTTGTCTAACATCACACACACACACACACACACACACACACACACACACACACACACACACACACTGCAGCAGAGACCAGAACGAGGAAGATTAAACTTGTTCTTTCAGAACTATTGTGTTAAAATGTCAATAGAATATTCAATTCCTGATCTTTTACTCAAAGGAAATCTTCAGACAGCTTTTCCCTTAGAAAAGTTCTGCAATACATGCAGAATGCACAAAGATCGATTCAGATCATTGCAAAAATAAATAAATAAATAAAATAAAATAAAAAATAAAAATAAAAATAACCTCAAAGAACACAAAGAATTTATTATTCTTTCTTTTTTCTTCTTCACTCGCCTTCCTCTTTTTCTTTCTGTTGGTTTCGCTCTCAAGAGTACAATAGCAAAAGACACATGCAAACTGACTTGCATCAGAACACAGCCTCAAATTAAAATGGATAAATTTAATCCATTTGTTTTTTACAGCTTTCGAAGTGAATTTTCAAAAATCCGTTTTATACCGCGTGACACACTAAATCCTTATGTCAGTTTCTCTATGTATATAGAGAGGGTACACGGTGGAGTAATGGCGGCGGAGTAATGGATAGCGGCTAAGATTAAGGAATCGGAGAGCCAAGTTCGAATTCCAGTCGAATCCATTATATTCACTTACATGCTAATATCCTTGGGAACGGTATGAGTGCTCTTCTTCTCCCCCAGCTATGGACAGACCGGGTGGCAACTAGTCTAGGAGAAGGACAACTCTAAATTGAAAGCCTGATCCTTCATACTGTGCAGTAGTACAACGTACTCACTTAAAAAACCGGCTTGTTATAGAAACCGCAACGATATCTTGCGGCCCTAAGTTCCTCAAGGAATTTAAAGGCATTATATATAATATATATATATATATATATATATATATATATATATATATATATATATATATATATATATATATATACTGATGGAAGTTATCTAAGACGATTAAAAAGAATCGGTTTAGTTAAAGAAGGTGTTTAAGTCAGATTGTTACAAAATCTGGTGTAGAGATGATGTTTGTAGAATTAGATCCAAATTACCAGTTCACTGATCATAAAATATGAATGTTTTTTTTCACAGAACGTCAAACAAAGAGAAGTTTGAACATCTTGAAACAAAGAATTTCGAGTGTTATTTTCTTACGACTTGATATCCAGTTATTTAATGAGATTCTTTCCGAGACATTAACAAAGAGATTTCATTTGTTTCTTTTCTTTAATAAAGTTTCTTTTCCCAACATATGAAAAGGAGATATTAAAGGACAATAAATATTGCCATTAAACACCCCCATCATCAACTTATCCATTTATTTTTTTTATATATATATATTTATATTTTTTATATATTTTTCCGTTTATTTTTTAGTCCATAAAAGGAAGCAAGCTGAAATATTTAATCCTTTTCTGTAAATTATTTAATAATTTCTGGAAATGATTTAATAATTTAATTTTTATCCCACTGATTGTAACGCGGGCTTTGAGAGAAGTTCATTGGTACACAAGGTCGGGTAATCACATGCATTTTCTTAACATTTCATATCCGGGTATCTTATGAGACTCATAACGAGTTTTATTTATTTTCTTTAAGAAAATCTCTTTTCTCAATAAGTAAAATGGGGAAACTATAGAATCAGGAATAATCCCATTGGTGATCCTATCATCAACTTAATATTTTTAGCTAAGTCTTTGTCTATAAAAGTAAACTGAAAACATTTGTTACATTTCTGGAAATTATTTAATAATTTCTGGAAATTATCTAATAAAGATCTGTTTAGCAGGAGAAAATATATTCATCAAACCACAACTAGATTCGAATATTATAAAACTACATTCCATTTAAAGGAAGTATGTCATTTAAAGAAACTACAATGAAAGATTGGTTCAAAATAGGAACATTACAATAACTTAAAAAAAAAAGGTTTGAATGTTTTTTTTTTACCATTTGTAAACCAATCAACGACAGTGATGTTTCGATTGGTTAAATTGCAGTTCCGCCATAAAAGTTTAAGAGGGGAGTTCGGTTCAGTGACGTAGGTAAGGGGGGCGGACCGCCTCGGGTGCCAGCACAGGAGGAGTGACACAATGTCACCCCCAACAAAATTTTTCAACCCGGCTAAGGTGCCAAAAATAGTCTGAAAACAGTGGTGGAGACACAGGGTTTCGAAGGCGGGCATATGACCCACAGAGATAATTTATGACCCCCCCACCAGTTTTGTCCCCCCGTCAGAAAATTACTAATAAATTGTCGGGAAATATGTGAGTAGTAAAAATAGCAATGTTTTCAGCTTTCATGTGTTTCAGTTGCTACAATCTTGGTTACTAAAAAGAGACATTGTTGTAACATTTTATCGGATGATATGGTGTTTTAACTCTGCATCATTAATAACAACAAAGCGAAATACGAAGCCAAAAGTGCAACAATTTCAGTCTTGCCTGTGTATCAATTCGCTGAGATACAATTTTCCATTGAGTGAGCGATATACTTTTGAATATATCTACTAGTCTTGGGACAATTAATCGGTATCGGAATCGAGAATCGGAAAAATCGGAACTTTTTGGGGTATCGGAAACGGTATCGGAATCGGAAAAATTTGTGCCTATTTTCCGATTCCAAAAACGATTCTTTTAAATTTTTAACTTAATTTTCCTTTATTGGTACTAATGATAAATATTTATTGTTTTTAAATTATCACTAAAACTAAAATCATAATAACATGAAAATACGATGTAAATTTATTTTACTTGTATATAAAGAAAAAAAAAAAAAAAACTTTGCATAAATTCTCTAGGTAACCTTTAAAAGAATGCAGTTGATTTACAATGTTCCGAAAAATACTGAAAAATTAAATAGAACATTTTTGTCAAGAAAAATACTTTCAAACATCATTGATAATTAAATGGTACCCAGAAAATGATGCAACGGAAGATTGGACACTGGAAAATTAGCAACAGAAAATTACGTCAACCATGAGCCAGTCGAGACTGTCGGATCTGGCTGTGCTGTCCATTGAAAACGAGCTTACATTTTGACGATGTTATTGACCAGTTTGCCATAATGAAAACAAAAAAACATTCATTCTAAGATCATAGTATCGAATGTCATTCTTTTGTGTATTGCTGTGTTTTGTATTTAGTTGTTCTGAAAGTGAACAGTTGCATTTTAAAAATCATTTGATTTGAACTGATTATTTTGTGGTATTGGATTTTGTCTTGGATCATACATGTAAACAGTAACGTACCGGTCAGTAGAGTAAAGTAGAGGTAGAGCATGTATAAAAATTTAGCTACAGCTAACCATTCAGCATAGGGTGAATCGGGGTCATTGGGGTGACATTTGAACGGACCGTCTCGGGTGACGTTTACTCTAGCTACGCCACTGGTTCAGTTGATTTTATTTTTGATTATTTCATCTTTCCCTCACTTCAGCACAAGTTATGTGTACATTATAGGAAATATTTTTTAAGGATTATATATTCCATTGAGTAAATTGTATTTTAGGGTTTGTAGAGGGAAATTAGAATGTGCGGGGGTTGCAATGGCTAGCAGCTCAGAATGAAAAATCAGCGAGTCGAGTTCTTTACATTCATTTTCGCGTAAATACCGTTGG